TCTGTTTGGAGAAGGATTATGCCACCAGGTCTAAGACATCTGAGATTCATCACATAACAGCTGCCAGAGGCAGTAGCAGACCTCAAAGTCCTCTGTGAAATTCACCTGAAACCCTGCCTTATTCCTTATGATGCATGCAGATAAGCAGAGTCAAACTGTAGCTTTGGTCACTCTGTAAAGATAAAAGTTCCAGTCTATCCCATAGAATAAAAATGGGGTTTTAGGGTAGCTAAAGCCTGTTATACAATTATGAAAATCTGTAGTCTTTGAAGATGGTCATCCATGGAGAAGCTCTGAAGGCTCACTAAAACACTGGTGTAAGAGATTATGGACTCAGAGAATTAAAACAAGATAAAACAGTAACGTTGTCTTTATATATGCAGAACCTCTCCACTCTGTAAGTCAGATGTGTCCAGAGGTGGCTCTAACACATCTCTTAATGGTGATTGGTTTCGAGCCTGAAGGCCAAACTGTCCTTGCTTAGCTTCAAGTTAACTGGAAGGAAGCCCCGTCTTTTGTAGAGCAAAGTCTTCACCATCACTCTCAGCCACCAGAGACTTGGTTCACTCTGCTGCTGCTCCTTTGAACAGAAAGACCTCCGTTGGCTCTTTAGTGAACGTCTGATTTTATGGGGAAAGTAGTATGCACCCTTTGACCTTTTTTTTTTTTTTTTTTTTTTTTTTTTTTTTTTTGCTGAGCTGCAATACTTTGCCACAGGCAAGAAAGTGGCAAAATAGAACAAAGCCCAATCTCTTTCCCTTGAACAAACATTCCTTTTGTAATGTTCCTGTGCTCCCAGACTTAATATCCTACACTTATCTTCTTTGAGCTGAATTTCTCTACTATAACCTAGTTACATAAATGATCAAAGCCATCCTCTAATTCCTCTCATCTTTCCAGTCTGTCAGGGGTAAGCTCGAGAGCTTTTCTACACTAATTAAAAGAGGAGATACTATGTGAAACTTATTTGTTTACCTTATAACTCTTTCATTTTAATATAAACATAGCATCAATTTTCTCCTGATTATAATTCATTGATGATGTAAGGAATGTAATTTTAAGCATTTTATGTTTAAACATATAGAGTGCAGTCTCCTAATCTTAGCATTATTGGTGTTTTGTGCTGGATAATTCTTTGTTGCAGAAGGTTGTCATGTACTCTGCAAGAATTTTAACAGCAGCCCTGGCCTCTGCCTCTTATTTGCTCCTCCCTTTCTCTGCCCCATTTCTGCGACAACCAAAAATGTATTCCGATATTGCCAAATGTCCCTTTTGGATAAAAGGAACCTGGGTCGAGAATAACTGATGTAAACCATATTCAACCGTTTTTATCAAGGAAGATGCAGCAGGCTGGTGCAGCACTTCTTCCTTGCTTAAAGGAAAAAAAAACAGAACTTGGATTTTTGGTGAGACTTGATCTCTACTCTTTAGTCATCTCTCAGAAAGTACTTATGAATGTTTTCTGACAAAATTTCTCAGATCCATCTACCTCTACCTATTTTCTTGCCCAATTTTTCACATAAATAAATTTACAAAATCCATTTCAGACATGTAATTTCATTGAATTTCCACAACATTAAGAAGTGGGTACTAATAGCCACTGGGGAGTACCAAGTGTCACAAAAAGAAAGATTTGGAAGGAGACAGGCTAGAGCTTCAGTTCTTGCACCGTTTCCTGGCTCTGAAAACTGAGGCCAATTCTTCAGCTTTGGTGCACCTCAGTTTCCTCATCTGAAATGTGGAATCATTAACACCTTGGAGTGATACTGAGAGAATAAAACAAGATGAGAGATGTAACAATGCTTCACACTAACAGAGGCTCAATCAGCTGTACCTTTGATTATTATCACTCTGAGTCCAGAGTTTTGTGTGCTACATCACAGATACATAGCAGCTTTCCCAATAGTGGCAGATTTTGCCCCTGTTCTGGCAACAGACCACTTTAAGAATCTTCTAAACAAAAAAAATTCTCATAAGCAACACAGTTTGTAGACAATTTCAGGGTATCCACAGGTTCCCCTAAAGTGTATATGGGTCCAAGTAAAGAATCCCTCTAATGAGAGTCTTCTAATTTCAAACATCTTTCCTTTCAATTGACTCAAGTACATTGTGCCAAATCTCCTTCCTTGCTCACTGCTTTAAAGTGGAACCACCTTCTGTGGAAATAAATTGATTCTTATTTCCTCTAACCGAATGCTAGAGGAAGATGCTTGACCCACACATCATTGAAATATGTCTTTGGTTTTGTGAAATAGAAACAGGCTTGCCAATTTCCCTTTCTCAGCAGAAAAGGAAAGGAAGGGTATTTGGTAAAAAGGGATTCAGGACATTCAATATGATTATCCACTATATTAGTTTCCTATTACTATTGTAACAAATTACCATAAACTTAGCACAAACTTATTATCTTACAGCTCTGGAGGTCAAAATGTGCCTCATTAAACTAAAATCGAGGGGCAGGCCACACTGCAATCCCTCCTGGAAGCTCTAAGGGACAATCTAATTTTCCTGTCTTTTTCAGCTTTAGAGTCTGCCTGCATTCCTTGGCTTATGGCCCCTTCCATCTTCAAAGCCAGCAATGGTCAGTTGAGTCTTTATTCCATCACATCTCTTTGGCATTCACTCTTCTTCTTCCCTTTTCCACCTTTAAGAACCCTTGAGATTACATCTCACTCATTGGGATAATCCAGGATAATCTCCCTATTTTAAGTTCAGCTGATTAGCAAAGTTAATTCCATTTGCTACCATTCTCCTTTGCCATGTAATATAGAAATATTTACAAGTTCTGGAAAAATTACCACAGATATCCTTAAGAGGCTACTAGTCTACCTACTAGAGTCAAACATCTTGGTGTCTTTAATGATATAGTAGGAGTAAATCATGTTACAAACCCTGATGTACATATGCAGTTTACAAAAGCAAGAAGTTGGCACTGCATTTTGAGTTTTCGCAATAACAATTTATTTTTAGATAGTAATGTCCCCTCCAAAAATTCATATCATCTTTAAAGAATGTCCCTCAAAAACTACTTATACTCAATTTATAATTTTTCAGCAACTTGACGTCTTCCAACTTCTGATCAATTAGGAAACTGGAGAAATTCTTTACAGCTCTCTACACAAAGTTAAGATAACTCACATGTATTTCGCAAAGAAAGTTGCAAATACAGACAGAAATACCCATGGAGACTAAATCAAGCCTGCATGAATCAGGAGGAGCTCAAAGCAAATCAATGCATTGTTGGCAAAAGAAGACAAGGCTGCTTACAAGGAACCAGAAGGGTTACACTGCACATTCACCAGTTAGCTTGCAGCCCCATTGCTTCATGGCAGCAATCTCTAGAAAGCCCCTTATTACATCCTTCTGCAAATCCAACATCCTCATCTTCCTTATCCTCCTGGATCTTTTTGGTCATTGCTTTTGTGTTCCTCCAGTGGACTGACTTTGCTTCTGATTCTTGATCCTTCTTTTTTTATCTTTTATCTTTCCATTTTTTAATTTTTAATTGTTTAGAGACAGGTTCTGTTTCCCAAGCTGGAGTGATCATAACTCACTGCAGTTTCAAACTCTTGGCATCAAGTGATCCTCCCATCTAAACCTCCCGAGTAGCTGGGATAAAGGCACAAACCATACCTGGCTTGGTATTTCCTTTATTTAGCACCACTTACTATCATAAAAATGGCTTCCAGGTCATTATCCTAACCACGTTTAATACAAGCCCCAATATCCTTGGCATTTATTCGGTTCTTAGTCATATTTAATGTTGTTGCTGAACCAGTCTTCAAAAAACCGATTCCATGCCTTTTTTCTCCTTGTATTAGTCCATTCTTGCATTGCCATAAAGAACTACCTGAGACTAGGTAATTTATAAACAAAAGAGATTTCATTGGTTGTACAGGAAGCATGGATGCAGAAACCTACAATCATGGTAGAAGGTGAAGGGGAAGCAGGCATTGTCTTCACCTGGTGGAAGAGAAGAGAAAGAGAGCAAAGGGGGAAAGTGCTACACTCCATTAACCAGATCTCATGAGAATTCACTCACTTTCACAAGAACAGCAAGGGGGAAGTCTGCCACCATGATCCAATCACCTCCCACTGAGAAGTGACTACATGTTAACAGCACTTGCTTGCTCTCGGTGCCTCCTCAGCCTCCGCCTCCACTCTAGTCACGCTTGAGGAGCCCTTAGAGGCGTGGGTGGGAGCCCGGGCTGAACAGCGCTCATGGGCTGGCGTGGGTTCCGGGTGGGCGTGGGCTTGGCAAGCCCTGCACTTTTTGTGGCCAGCTGGTGCCTGCTGGGCTTGATCGGGGACAAGCTCTCTCTGGGCTACCCTAATGCCTGGGCTAGGTGCTGCAAAGTCCTGTGGCAAGTGCCCTTGAGAGGTGAAGCCAGCTGGGCTTCTGGGTTGGGTGGGGACTTGGAGAACTTTTGTGTCTAGCTAAAGGGTTGTAAATGCACCAATCAGCACTCTGTGTCTAGCTAAAGGACTGTAAATGCACCAATCAGCACCCTGTCAAAATGGACCAATCAGCTCTCTGTAAAATGGACCAATCAGCAGGATGTGGGTGGGGTCAGATAAGGGAATAAAAGTAGGCTGCCTGATCCAGCAGCTGCAGTCCCCTTCCAAGTTGTGGAAGGTTTGTTCTTTGCTGTTCACAATAAATCTCTCAATGCTGCTCACTCTTTGGGTCCATGCTGCCTTTATGAGCTGTAACACTCACTGCAAAGGTCTGCAGCTTCACTCCTGAAACCAGCGAGACCACGAACCCACTAGCAGGGAGGAACAACTCCGGACAGGAGGGACGAATGACTCCAGATGTGCCACCTTTAAGAGCTGTAACACTCACCGAGAAGATCTGCAGCTTCACTCCTGAAGCCAGAGAGACCACGAACCCACTGGAAGGAAGAAACTCCGGAGGCTTCTGAACATCTGAAGGAACACACTCTGGTCACACCATCTTTAAGAATGTAACACTCACCGCGAGGGTCTGCGGCTTCATTCTTGAAGTCAGCAAGACCAATAACCCACCAATTCTGTACACATTTTGGTGACCACGAATGGACTATCACCTATTGCCAAGCGGTGAGACTATCGCCTATCGCCAAACGGTGAGTACCATCGGACCCCTTGTGCTTGCTATTCTGTCCTATTTTTCCTTAGAATTCGGTGGCTAAATACCGGGCATGTGTCGGCCAGTTAAAAGCGACTAGTGCGGCCACTGGACTAAAGACACAGGTGTCGGGCTTTCTGGGAAAGGGCTCTCTAACAACCCCCGACTCTTTGGAGTTGGGATCATTGGTTTGCCTGGAACCGGCTTTTGCTTTTCCTGTATTTCTGGGCTGAGCCAAGGGTCAACAGAGAGGAAAGCCGTTCAACTCCAGGGTCCCGACAGCAAGTTGGTTGATCGTGCGGCCATGAGCGGAACTCTCAAAGGCATGTTGGCCAAGGGAGGCTCTATTCTATTCTATCTACCCTGACCTTTGCCTCCTGGGTCCTAATGCCTGCCAGACAAACTTCTTCTCACCTCTCTTCTCTGAGGCTAGTCCTGGTTCTAAAAACCACTCCGTCTCTGGTGCTTTTCTAGTTTCTCCTGTAAGAATGATTTCTAGTATAAACTCCAGGACTTTGCTACCTTCTTTAGGCACCCGGGCTCGCCAATCAGAAAGACATAATTTTTCCCAAAGCCCCGTCATAGGGGGGACTATCTGGAGTTTTAGGATCCCTCCTCAGACAAGCAGGGCTAACAAAAGCTATTCCTGAAGCTAGAATATGGGAAGCCTCAGAAATTTTATCCTTCCTATTCCTATAAGTGTGGACAAAAGGCGTCACTCTTCCAACTCTGGAGATCCCTTCCCTCCCTCAGGGTATGGCCCTCCACTTCGTTTTTGGGGCCTAACATCTTTACAGGACACGGGTAAGGTTCCAATACTAACAGGAGAATGCTTAGGACTCTAACAGGTTTTCGAGAATGTGTCAGTAAGGGCCACTAAATCCGATTTTTCTTGGTCCTCCTTGTGGTCTAGGAGGACAGGCAAGGGTGCAGGTTTTCGAGACTGTGTCGGTAAGGGCCACTAAATCCGACTTTCCTTGGTCTTCCTTGTGGTCTGGGAGGAAAACTAGTGTTGCTGCTGCTGCATCAATGAGCTCAACTATTCCGATCAGCAGGGTCCAGGGACCATTGCAGGTTCTTGGGCAGGGGTTGCTGCTGCTTTGGTGAGCGCAACTATTCCGATCAGCAGGGTCCAGGGACCATTGTGGGTTCTTGGGCAGGGGGAGAAAGAAAACAAACCAAAACCGCGGGAAGTTTTGTCTTTCAGATGGGAAACACTCTAGCATCAACGTGCTCACCCTTGAAATGCATCCTAAGCCATTAAGACCAATTTGACCTGCAAACCCTGAAAAAGAGGTGGCTCATTTTTTTCTGCCTATGGCCTGTCCCCAATATTCTCTCTCTGATGGGGAAAAATGGCCACCTGAAGGAAGTACAAATTACAATACTATCCTGCAGCTTGACCTTTTCTGTAAGAGGGAAGGTAAATGGAGTGAAATACCTTATGTCCAAGCTTTCTTTTCATTGAAGGAGAATACACAACTATGCAAAGCTTGCAATTTACATCCCATAGAAGGACCTCTCAGCTTACCCCCATATCCTAGCCTCCATATAGCTCCCCTTCCTATTAATGATAATCTTCCTCTAATCTCCCCTGCCTCAAAGGAAATAAGCAAAGAAATCTCCAAAGAACCACGAAACCTCTGCCCAGGCTATCCGTTATGTGCCCTTCAAGCTGTAGGGGGAGGGGAATTTAGCCCAACCCAGGTACATGTCCCTTTCTCCCTCTCTGATTTAAAGCAGAGCAAGGCAGACCTGGGGAAGTTTTCAGATGATTGTGATTCATACATAGATGTCCTACAGGGTCTAGGGCAAACCTTCAGCCTCGCTTGGAGAGATGTCATGCTACTGTTAGATCAAACCCTGGCCTTTAATGAAAAGAATGTGGCTTTAGCTGCAGCCCGAGAGTTTGGAAATACTTGGTATCTTAGTCAAGTAAATGATAGAATGACAGCCGAAGAAAGGGACAAATTCCCCACCGGTCAGCAAGCCATCCCCAGTATGGATCCCCACTGGGGCCTTGACTCCAATCATGGGGACTGCAGTCATAAACATCTGTTGACCTATGTTCTAGAAGGACTAAGGAGAATTAGGAAAAAGCCTATGAATTATTCAATGATGTCCACCATAACTCAGGGAAAGGAAGAAAATCCTCCTGCCCTCCTTGAGCAGCTACAGGAGGCCTTAAGAAAATATACTGCCTGTCACCCGAATCACTCAAGGGTCAATTGATTCTAAAAGATAAGTTTATTACCCAATCAGCCAAAGATATCAGGAGAAAGCTCCAAAAGCAAGTCCTGGGCCCTGAACAAAATCTGGAGGCATTATTAAACCTGGCAACCTCGGTGTTCTATAATAGGGACCAAGAGGAACAGGTCCAAAATTAAAAGCGAGATCAGAGAAAGGCCACAGCCTTAGTCATGTCCCTCTGACAAAAAATCCTTGGTAGTTCAGAAAGAACAGAAAATGGAGCAGGCCAATCACCTGGTAGGGCTTGTTATCAGTGTGGTTTACTAGGACACTTTAAAAAAGATTGTCCAATGAGAAACAAGCCACCCCCTCATCCATGTCCACTATGCCAAGGCAATCGCTGGAAGGTGCCACTGCTCCAGAGGACAAAGGTTCTCTGGTTCAGAAGCCCCCAAACAGATGATCCAAAAACAGGACTGAGGGTGCCTGGGGCAAGCGCCAGCTCATGTCATCCCCCTCACTGAGCCACGGGTATGCTTAACCATTGAGGGCCAGGAAATTGACTTCCTCCTGGATACTGGTGCAGCCTTCTGAGTGTTAATCTCTTGTCCCAAACGACTGTCCTCAAGGTTTGTTACCATCTGAGGAATCCTGGGACAGCCTGTAACCTGGTATTTCCCCCACCTCCTCAGTTGTAATTGGGAGACTTTACTCTTTTCACATGCCTTTCTTGTTATGCCTGAAAGTCCCATACCCTTAATAGGGAGAGACATATTAGCCAAAGCTGGAGCTATTATCTACATGAATATGGGGAACAAGTTACCCATTCATTGTCCCCCTACTTGCAGAGGGAATCAACCCTGAAGTCTGGGCATTGGAAGGACAATTTGGTAGGGCAAAAAATGCCCACCCAGTCCAAATCAGGCTAAAAGACCCCACCACTTTTCCTTATCAAAGGCAATATCCCTTAAGACCTGAAGTTCATAAAGGTTTACAGGATATTGTTAAACATTTAAAAGCTCAAGGTTTAGTAAGAAAATGCAGCACTCCCTGCAACACCCCAATTCTAGGAGTACAAAAACCAAATGGTCAGTGGAGTCTACTGCAAGATCTTAGATTCATCAATGAGACGGTAATTCCTCTATATCCAGTTGTACCCATCCCCTATACCCTGCTCTCTCAAATACCAGAGGAAGCAGAATGGTTCACTGTTCTGGACCTCAAGTATGCCTTCTTCTGTATTCCCCTGCACTCTGACTCCCAGTTTCTCTTTGTCTTTGAGGATCCCACAGACCACACATCCCAACTTATGTGGACGGTCTTGCCCCAGGGGTTTAGGGATAGCTCTCACCTGTTTGGTAAGGCACTGACCCAAGATCTAGGCCACTTCTCAAGTCCAGGCACTCTGGTCCTTCAGTATGTGGATGATTTACTTTTGGCTACCGGTTTGGAAGCCTCATGCCAGCAGGCTACTCTAGATCTTTTGAACTTTCTAGCTAATCAAGGTACAAGGCATCTAGGTCGAAGGCCCAACTTTGCTTACAGCAGGTTAAATATCTAGACCTAATCTTAGCCAGAGGGACCAGGGCCCTCAGCGAGGAACGAATACAGCCTGTACTGGCTTGTCCTCACCCTAAGACATTAAAACAGTTGTGGGAGTTCCTTAGAATCACCGGCTTTTGCCAACTATGGATCCCCAGGTACAGTGAGATAGCCAGGTCCCTCTATACTCTAATCAAGGAAACCCAGGGGCAAATACTCATCTAGTAGAGTAGGAACCAGAGGCAGAAACAGCCTTCAAAATCTTAAAGCAGGCCCTAGTACAAGCTCCAGCTTTAAGCCTTCCCACAGGACAAAACTTCTCTTTATAAGTCAGAGAGAGAGCAAGGATAGCTCTTGGAGTCCTTACTCAGACTCGTGGGACAACCCCACAACCAGTGGCATACCTAAGTAAGGAAATTGAGGTAGTAGCAAAAGGCTGGCCTCACTGTTTATGGGTAGTTGCAGCGGTGGCCGTCTTAGTGTCACAGGCTATCAAAACAATACAAGGAAAGCATCTCTCTGTCTGGACTACTCATGATGTAAATGGCATGCTAGGTACCAAAGGAAGTTTATGGTTATCAGACAACCGCCTACTTAGATACCAGGCGCTACTCCTTGAGAGACTGGTGCTTCAAATGCGTACATATGTGGCCCTCAACCCTGCCACTTTTCTCCCAGAGGATGGGGAACCAATCGAGCATGACTGCCACCAAATTATAGTCCAGACTTATGCTACCCAAGATGATCTCTTAGAAGTCCCCTTAGCTAATCCTGACCCTAACTTATATACCGATGGAAGTTCATTTGTGGAGAATGGGATACGAAGGGCAGGTTATGCCATAGTTAGTGATATAACTGTACTTGAAAGTAAGCCTGTTCCCCCAGGGACCAGTGCCTGGTTAGCAGAACTAGTGGCACTTACCTGAGCCTTAGAACTGGGAAAAGGAAAAAGAATAAATGTGTATACAAATAGCAAGTATGCTTATCTAATCCTACATGCCCGTGCTGCAATATGGAAATAAAAGGAGTTCCTAACTTCTGGGGGAACCTCCATTAACTACTACAAGGAAATTATGGAATTATTGCACGCAGTGCAAAAACCCAAGGAGGTGGCAGTATTACACTGCCAAAGCCATCAAAATGGGAAAGAGAAAGGGAGAACAGCAGCATGAGCAACTGGCAGAGGCAGCAGACAGGAATGAGATGGAAAGTCAGAGAAAGAGAGAGAGAGAGGAAGAAACAGAGAAATAAAAAGAGGGAGTCAGAAAGAGAGAGAGACAAAGAGGGAGTCAGTAAAAAAGAGAGGAGGAGAGAGATAAAGAGGGAGTCGGAAAGAGAGAAATGAAGAAGTCAAAGAGAAAGAGAGATGGAAGTAGTAAAGAAAAAACAGTGTACCCTATTCCTTTAAAAGCCAGGGTACAGTTAAAGCCTCTAATTGATAATTGAAGGCCTTCTCTGTAACCTTAAAACACTCCAATACCACCTTGTTTTCAGTGTAAACAAGGGCGTAGCCTGAAAGCACTGAGGCCACTGACAACCCGTAGCCTTCCTATCAAAAATCCTTAACCCAGCAGGTTTCCTAATGGGATCTAAATCTGAATGTCCAACCAGACAAAGGAGGAACTCCCTTCAGGACAGGACTATAGATGGTTCCTCCCAGGGGATTAAGGAAAAAGACACAATGGGTATTTAGTAAGTGATAAGGACACTCTTGTAGAAGCAGAATTAGGAAAATTGCCTAATAATTAGTTTGCTCAAACGAGCGAGCTGTTTGCACTCAGCCAAACTTTAAAGTACTTACAGAATCAGGAAAGAGCCATATATACCAATTTTAAGTTAATATGAACTGAACGAGCTCTTATTAATAGCAAAGAATAATTAAAATCCCAAACTTACAAGGTTTTCAACAAAAGTAAAGTTTGCTAAAAGTTAACAGTGTAACAAGTGTTATCCTACTACCACACACTTTCTTTCTCAGACAGTTTGCAAGAGATAAAGAAATCTATCCTTACTCTACAATCCCAAATAGACTCTTTGGCAGCAGTGACTCTCCAAAACCACCAAGGCCTAGACCTCCTCACTGCTGAGAAAGGAGGACTCTGAACCTTCTTAGGGGAAGAGTGTTGTTTTTACACTAACCAGTGAGGGATAGTATGAGATGCCGCCCGGCATTTACAGGAAAAGGCTTCTGGAATCAGGCAGCGCCTTTCAAATTCTTATACCCACCTCTGGAGTTGGGCAACATGGCTTCTCCCCTTTCTAGGTCCTGTGGCAGCCATCTTGCTGTTGCTTGCCTTTGGACGCTGTATTTTTAACCTCCTTGTTAAATTTGTTTCCTCTAGAATCGAGGCCATCAAGCTACAGATGGTCTTATAAATGGAAGCCCAAATGAGTTCAACTAACAACTTCTACCGAGGACCCCTGGACCGACCCACTGGTACTTTCACTGGCCTGGAGAGCTCCCAACTGGAGGACACTACAACTGCAGGGACCTTTCATCGCCCCTGTCCAGCAGGAAATAGCTAGGGCGGTCATCTGCCAAATTCCCAACAGTAGTTGGGGTGTCCCGTTTAGAGGGGGGATTGAGAGGTGACAACATGCTAGCAGCCCTCGCTCACTCTCAGTGCCTCCTCGGCCTCGGTGTCTGTTCTGGCCACACTTGAGGCGTCCTTCAGCCCACCACTATGCTGCGGGGGCCCCTCTCTGGGGCTGGCTGAGGCCGGAGCTGGCTCCCTCTGCTGGCAGGGAGGTGTGGAGGGAGAGGCGCGGGTGGGAGCTGGGGCTGCACGTGCACTCACGGGCCAGCGTGGGTTCTGGGTGGGCACGGGCTCAGTGGCCCTGCACCCTTTGTGGCCAGCTGGTGCCTGCTGGGCTTGATCAGGGGACAAGCTCCCTCTGGGCTACCAGAGTGCCCAGCCTAGGTGATGCAAAGTCCCATGGCAAGTGCCATTGAGAGGTAAAGCTGGCTGGGCTTCTGGGTCGGGTGAGGACTTGGAGAACTTTTGCGTCTAGCTAAAGGATTGTAAACGCACCAATCAGCACTCTGTGTCTAGCTAAAGGATTGTAAATTCACCAATCAGCACTCTGTGTCTAGCTAAAGGTTTGTAAATGCACCAATCAGCTCTCTGTGTCTAGCTAATCTGATAGGGACTTGGAGAACTTTTGCATCTAACTAAAGGATTGTAAATGCACCAATCAGCACCCTATCAAAGCGGACCAATCAGCTCTCTGTAAAATGGACCAATCAGCAGGACGTGGGCGGGGCTAGATAAGGGAATAAAAGCAGGCTGCCTGACCTAGCAGTGGCAAGCTGCTTGGGTCCGTTTCCAGGTCGTGGAAGTTGTGTTCTTTTTCTCTTTGCAATAAATCTTGATGCTGCTTACTCTTTGGGTCCGCCGTTATGAGCTGTAACACTCACTGTGAAGGTCTGCAGCTTCACTCCTGAAGCCAGCAAGACCACGAACCCACCGGGGGGGACAAACAACTCTGGACAGAAGGAACGAACAACTCCAGATGCGCTGTCTTTACCAGCTGTAACACTCTCCGTGAGGGTCCGTGGTTTCATTCTTGAAGTCAGCGAGACCAAGAACCCACCAATTCCGGACGCACCACCAGGACCCTCCTCCAACTTTGAGGATTACAGTTTGACAGGATATTTGGGTGGGGTCACAGAGCCAAACTATATCACTCCTTAAACCTCAAATGCCTCCTCCTCTGTTCATAAATATTCTAGCCTCCTTTCTTCCCAGAGGCCTAGCAAGATTGCAGTCCACAGGCCCCCTTTGAAGTTAGATGTGACAATGTTACTTATTTTGCTGATGATATGTAGACGAAAGGTCATATATCACTTCCAGAGACAGGCTTTAAGAACCAGAGTGCCACTTTTCTTTTTTTACAATCTTGGCAAAAGAGAGCAAAGAAAGCCTCCTAGCTCCCTAAATGAGGTTAGAGCAAGCAGCATCCTCTAGCTGATCTACAATGGACACTTAGCATGAGAGAGAAATAAACCGTTGCTGTGTTAAACTGCTGAGATACAGGAAATAAGGAGGTTGTTATTATAACATCCCAGCCTATACTTTACTGCCTAAATTGGTGAGAAAATAGAAGCAATCAGAAGATAACTTCTACAACCTCCCATGACCACATCTGTGACTGATTAGTCACCATATACTCTGTCCTCCTCTAATATTTGAATGAATTCTCTATAGTCCTATCTAAAGTCCGTCTTTTATCTTGTATACCGGATGGGAACTACTTTTCGTTACTCAAGGCTGACATTCAAACATTTCTCTCCTTTGTCTTTTATATAATCAATGTTTCCCTTTCTACTAGATCCCCTTCATCAGTAAATAAACATACATAATATCTCCTGTTTTTAAAGAATCTCTCCACTAGTTAACAGCACCTCAATCCCATCTCCAATGTGTTGTAATACTTGCTCCCATTCTCTTCAGAATTATCTCACTAGGTTCTGCTTGTCCCACTACACTGAAAACTGCTTTTGTCCGGGTAACCAATAATATGGAATTTATTAAGTCTGGAAGTCAAATCTTGGTCCTGATCTGACATAACATTGACTTGGTTGACTGTATTCCTTCCTTCTTGAAATATTTTTGTACATGGCTTCCAAGACACAACTATCCTACCTACTAATCCTCTTCCTACCTCACTGGCTGCTCCAGCTTGATCTCCCGAAGTCTAAATGTTGGGGTTCAGGCCTTGGGTGTCTTTTCTCCTTCATTCACACCCTCTTGCCAGGTTACCTCATCCAGTTTCATGGTTTTACATTGTCAACTGAAGAATAACGAGGTTCATAAATTTAGAAAGGAGAGCTTTATTTTTCACAAAGAAAAATAAAACTGAGTGTCCAGTATGTGCTAAGCAAGGTGTCTGCCACTGATGGAGCAATGCCCAAGCAGCGGACACCAAGGCCAGGAAGGGGAAGGCTGGACAGAAGGGTCTGAGAAAATCGTGAGAAAATGGAGGAGGGAGAGGAGGAATAAGAACAGGAGGAGGAGGAAGAGGAGGGGGAGAAAGGATGAGGGGCAGGAGGAAGAGGGAGAGGAGAAAGCGGAAGTGGGGGAGGAAGAAGAGGGATGAGGAGGAGGGAGTTGGAAGGGGAAGAGGAAGGGGGCAGAAGTCAGAAGAAGAGGGGGAGGAGAAAGAGGAAGAAGAGTAAGAGGAGGTGGAAGACAGACAAGGGGAGGAGGAGGAGGGCGGGGAGGAGCTTCGCCGCGGCCTGCTCCGCCCAGCCAGGTTCCGTGGCCACATGGCTTCGGTCTCCTCTGCGACCTTCTTGGGCCACGGGGCTCGGTCCCTACTGCAGTTCCTGCGGCTGGTGGGGCAGCTCAAGGTGAGCGGGCGCCAGGCCCGGAGGCTGCGGCCGAGCGGGCGGGACTGTGGGGCGGCGGAGCTTCCGGCTCCCCGCTGGGCCCGCGGCCTTTCCCCTTCCTGCGCTGGGTCCGCCGCGCCGAATTCGGGAAAGGCCCCAGTCCAGGGGATGTGGCCGCGCCTCGCGGACTGTGGACAGAGGAAGAAGCCGGAGGGGCAGCCGGGCCAGCTGGGACGGCGCGCAGTCTGAGCCTAGAGCTCGGGGCCGCGGGGGCCGCGAGCTCCGCCCTGCAGCCGTGCCAGTTCCCAGAGAGCAGCCGGCCTCGCCCTTCCTGCACTGAGCTTTTCCGGGGCTCAAGACCCCAGAACCACGTGCGTGTGTGTGTGTGTGTGTAGGGTGGGGCTGCTTCTGAGCACGGGTGGAAAGAATAGAATCTGTCGGCTCTGCAGATTTTAAGTGGAGCGCTTTACCTCTGCCTCACAGTTACTTCCAGAAACAAGACTTTTCTCAAGGCCACCCCCCAAACAGGATTTAATGTCATACACATGAGTTTCATCATGTGCGTCTTCCCCGTCTCTCTCCCAAGTTCAAAGTAAATTATCTGTTTCATGCCACTCTGACTACTAGTTATAACATTCCTTAGCGATGTAGAATTCTGAGGAAGAAATGCAGTTTCACAAGATGAGGTTATGATGTGAATAAAAGGAAGAGTCCCGGCACGTGGTAGCATCAAGCAATTAGAAGTGCCCTTATCCCTTGTGCCTCAGAATTTGGAAGCCTATCACTCGTTCACGTTCAGAGCCTTCAATACAGTGTTTTCTGCTTGTGTAGGATTATTTGAAGGCAAAAAGCCACAATTCTTGTAGTTAGTAAAAATGCAGTTTTTGTGGTTTTTTTTGTTTTTGTTTTTTAAAGAACTTGCATATGTTCCGTCATTATACATCAGTAACAGAGTAATCTGACGAATGGACTTTGTGACTTATCTCTCTCTGTCTTCTCCCCCTTTCATTCTCTGAGCTCTCAAGTTCATTTGATTCCAGATGTCTATCATTTTAGCTAGTTTAGCAAAACATTTTGTAATAGGTTCTGAAACTATGACCCGGTTTCTGTGTGTTATATCCTGGACATCTCTTGAAGAGCATAGCAGATAGTTAGTATTTGGTTTTTAAAACTTTTTTCTTCTTCATATTTATCAGAGAGTCCCACGGACTGGCTGGGTATACAGAAATGTCCAAAGGCCGGAGAGCGTGTCAGATCACATGTACCGGATGGCAGTTATGGCTATGGTGATCAAAGATGACCGTCTTAACAAAGACCGGTAAGCTGAGCTGGACTTTGATGCTCGTGAGGGATTCTGGTCTATGGGTGTGCACCCGTTTTTACCACTGAGACCCGTGTCAAATCCTTGTAGGTTAGTTTATAGGTCAAGAAAAATTATTTGAAGCAAACCATGCATATTTAGGATGTGGGTTGTGTTGCCTCCGTTGTTGTAAACTGCAATCTGGGTTTTATGTTGGCAAGTGATAGAGCCTGCCTAGGGTATCAGAGGAGACTTAAGTGTGATATTGGGGCCTTGAAGGCGAGTGTGTTATGTCTAAAATTCTAGCATTGTATTAGTATACCGTGTGCTCTTTTCTAGTGCCTTTTATGGATAGTAGCATACATTCATGAGGCTCTTTTTGGAGTTGTATGTGCAAGACAGCTGAGAAAGAGGTATCCTCTCCCCCTTCATTCAATTGACAAGTGTTAAAATGCTTTTTGAGCACAGAACAAAAGTAAGTTTACTAGCATATAAGAGAGTAAATAAATCCCAAGTGACTTACACAGGCCCAAAATAACTTCTATAAGAAGTGAAATATAAGTTATAGTCGAAAATGTTAAGTATTTTAAGAGTAGGGGAGATCACCTGTTCTTGGTTGATCTTTATGGAGGAGGTGCAATCTGAGTTGAGCTCTAGAGGGTTAACATAGGCAGAGAGGTAGGAGAAGGCACTGCATGCAAAGAGAAGGGCAGATAAACCAAAGCCCTGAATGTAGGAAAATAAAGGAGTATTTTGCAAATGAGAAATAAATCAACTTGACTGCAGCAAAGGGTTCACTGGGGAAGCCTGAGTAGTCCTCTGTTACTCAGCAGATGGTATGGAGCTGAGGAGGTTTTTGGCAAATAGTACAAAGTGAAAGTGAAGTCCAATAGAGATGCAATTTGGAGTAGTCTGGGATTTGAACTGGACCAGAAAGAGAGTAGACGCAGGGAAATCTCAAAGGACACTGTTGGGCCTTGTATTGCCTCGGTAGTATGGGAGGCTAAAACATACTGGCCCGATTGGGCATTTATCTCATTACTTGACTTCCTGTTTTGATGACGATTATCACAACTACTATTCCTTAACCACTAATAATCATAACCACTTATTGAATGATTCACATGTGTCAGGAACATGAAAGTTGTTAAATGTAATTTTTTTTTTTTGAGACAGAGTCTCACTGTTGCCCAGGCTGGAGTGCAGTGGTGCAATGTCAGCCCACTGCAACCTCCGCCTCCCAGATTCAAACAATTCTCCTGCCTCAGCCTCCTGAGTAGCTGGGATTACAGGTGTATGCTACCACACCTGGCTAATTTTTGTATTTTTAGTACAGATGGGGTTTCACCATATTGCTAGGCTGGTCTCAAACTCCTGACCTCAGGTGATCCTCCTGCCTTGGCCTCTCAAAGTGCTGGTATTACAGGTATCAGCCAGCACACCCGGCCTATTTATCAGCCTTTTAAAGTGAGATTTCAGAGACAAACCATTTAAGAAAAAAAATTCATGCTAACAATTTCCCCTCCACTCACATGTATTTTATTGAATATGAACTAACAGTTTTGATCAGAACTGTTGTAGGCTGGCAGAATGTAACTACTTTAGAAAATACTACATTAAAATACTCTGTTAAGGTGGAGAAAAAAATATATTTTATGCAATTTTGGAAGAGTATAGAGAAGGAACTTGTAGTGAATATAATTCTGTGTAATTATTCAACATTTCTTGCCTGATCAGATGTGTACGCCTA